AATTCCTCAACTGATCCTGTTTCCTCAGACTGCAAGCCTCTGTGTCCTCATCCAGAATGGATCTCAGCTGAACTGATTCTCAAAAGCCTAAAAGTTTAACCAACTCTAGTTTCTGGTCCTCACACCTTATATACCTTCCTGCTTTCTGCCATCACTTCCCGGGATTAAAGACATGAGTCACCATGCCTGGCTGTTTCCAGTGTGGCCTTGAACTCACAGAGATCCAGAGGGATTTCTGCCTCTGAAATTCTGGAATGCTAGAATGCGTGTGTGCCACCATTTTCTGGCCTCTATATCTAGTGGGTGTTCTGTTCTCTGACCCCAGGTAAGTTTATTAGGGTGCACAATATTTTGGGGAACACAATATCACCACATCCCGGTACCTCCTGCGTCTTGCTTCACACAGGGACTCTCCACAATGATCAGCACTCTGGAGCTGAGAGCCCCTTCCTGCTCAGAATTAGAAAGGAAGTCTGGGTTCTCCTACCCCTCTAGGTCTCCTGTCCTTTTCTGTCTTCTTTCCCAACCTTTCTCCTTGTCCTTCTACTGTCCTGAGCCTAGTTCTCTAAGGGAGACTCCGTTCTAATGAGTCATTTTCAATGCTTTTTAAACAGGCTTAAAAAGCCCGGGTCCTCAATACCATTGCATCAGCCACGAAAAGAATAGTCGGTGAGCTGTAGAGGAAAAGTTAGCTCATGACCAGCATTTTTATTCTCTTTTATTTTATCTTAAGAAGTCATTGTTTTCAAGATATACCTTAAGGAACATTTAAATTCTCTTATAACACACAGTTTACTCTCAGTTTTTAGTAGGCTCTCCATGATTTGTATTATGTAAATAAACTCCCGAGTCTGAGTAAGCTTAATAATGCACATTTAAACTGTTTGGACTTGACTTGTCTTCCAGAGTTCTGTGGTAAAGAAACTCAAAGAGTTCTTTTGGGTCCAAAACAATCCAACTTTTCCCTCTTTGTGTTATGCTCTGTGAACTTTTCTTTTGCATCAGCCCATTTAAGTCTATGAATATATGTCTCTTACTATTTCTTGCTGCTCCTCTTGTGTCTCTCACATGGAGCAGTTGTAGAAGAAAAAGGCTTTGTTCTGCATGGTGCTGAATTAAACCATGCAGAAGCCTGCAGGAAGCAGGAAGACTGGCATGTCTGGGCTTCAGGCTGATAACTTCAATTGGTTACCGAGTCTCTTGTGACTTCCTTCCATGCCCACCCATGACGAGAGCAGACCAAAGCTGACCCACTCAAAATCTTAGAAATACTGGAAATCTAGGAACAGCTAGGTTTGAAGCCTAGAAACACCGTGTAATGTTCTCAAGGCCAAGTCACAGCGCTTGGCCTTGTCCTTAGATACACTCTGCATTATTTTTGGTCAAAAGGTGAGAACCACTAATGAGACATGCTGATTTCCTTAAGCTCACAGTCTGTGGAGTCAGTTTGTTGGGACTTCTTGCCATCCCTTAACCAATGACTTTCTGAAAGTCGCTTCTCCTTTCAAAGCTTGAGGTTCTTTCTCCGACATTGGGAATACAATTGAACTCTCCATACAGGACGGGATTACATGCAAAGTGTATGTGGCATGCCTGGCTTCCTGCCGACACAATATGTATTCAGTAATGGTAATGATGATCATTATTACCAATTGGGACTTAATTACCATCGACTTAAGAGCAATTTCTAGTGTGTGTAAAGAAACAGTTCAGAAACTAAGTGTATTTGGATCATAGCAAATATTTGTTGTTCTTTTCTCATGCTCAGAGTGGGTGGTTTGTTGGCGCCCATCATTTTCTTGGTTCAGTGACTAAGCTCTTAGCAGGGAATATGTATCAGGTCTTTGTTCCCATGCTGGATCACAGAAGGGAGATAATTCATGTTCTCACCTCAAGGGGAGAGGAAGTGAATGATTCTAAGTATTATTAAGAAGGAATCAAAGAAGATGAAACAGGTTTATCAGTTGAAGAGAGAAGAAGGCAATACATGCTTTTCTAGGTCAGGCAGGGCCAGTGAGTGACTCAATGGTCTGGTGCCAAGCAGTCTCCAGACGACTCCTGTAAGCTCTCCTCTGACCTCTACGTGACCTGTACGCACTCGTGTGCATACACACTTAATAAATGTAATGGAAGTCATAACCCGAGTTTGGTCCCTGGGACTTACGTGATAGCAGGAAAGAAGCGGAGACCTCCACAAGTTTTTCTCTCTTTTCACATGTACACAGTGGCACAAGTCCCTCATTGCCACAAACAAACCAAGAAACCAACAAATGTACTCTTTTAAAAGATGTTGTATCAGGGGCTGGAGAGATGCTTAGCAGTTAACCATGTCAGGAAGCTCACAGCCTCCTCCTATAACTTCAGCTCCAGAAGGATGGGATGCCTCTTTTGGACTTTGTGGGCACTTGTATTCATGTGAATATACCCCAGCACAGATGAACACACGTGTATACAAAAATAAAAATAAATCTTAAAAATTCAAATAGTATGGGGTGATATAAATTAAGCGTTCTTTTGTCTCTAGAGGTTACATTTAAAAAAAATCAGCATTCCTGAAAGGTTTTAAAAATCAGAGAAAATGAAAAGGTAGATCTGGGGCTCGTGAGATGGCTTAGCAGGTAAAGGGGGCCTGCTGCCAACCTTGTTGACCTGCGTTTGAGTCCTGGGACCCACATGGTAGGGAAGAACTGACACCTACAAGTTCTTCTCCGACTGACTCATCTGTGCCCAGACACACCCACCCACCCACATACCTAAGTGAATAAAAACAGACAAGCAGCCTGCAGCTGAGGAGTACAAACACGTGCCCTCCCCGGGGTAAACCATACATGTGTCTGGAAGTTTTTGTAATCCTTTAGTTTCTCCTCTTTTCTTCTTTGCTTTTTAAACCACAAATGGAATTTACTCTTCAATACTTGGTTCTACCTCACTTCATATACAGATCAATACAAGTGATTCCTTGGGGATTGATCTTGCTCTGTAAACATGATGTCCCAGCTCTGCTCTGCTGTTGGTCAGCTTCTCATTGCTGGGACAAAATCCTGGAGGGAATCAGCTCCAAGGAGAAAGGGTTATTTTGACTCGAGGTTTGAGTTCATAGTTACTTTTCCTTATTGCATTTGTGCCTGTGGAGCAGAGCATTGAAACAGGTGTTTGTGATCAGTGGAAATAGTAAAGGTAGGTAGAGGGGAGACAGGAAGGGAGAGAGGGAGAGAGGGAGAGAGAAAACAAAAACGTTATGCCCATGTGACCGTAGTAACTCCCACAGGTGTGATCAGCTGTCTGATAGGTATCACCTTCAGACAGAAAGGATTTAATTTCACAATGAATCTAAGGCACATACTATCTTTGGGGAAAGGAATGGTGACAGGAGACTCCATGGACCAGCAAGCACAGAGATAGAGAGACTGTGCCTGAAAGCAGGGCCAGTTACAGCTTTCATGCCTTGACCCTTGGTGGCCCATTTCTTCCATCTGTGACCCCATGTCTTCCATCTATGACCCATCCTTAAGGTTCCACAACCTTCCCAAATAGTACTAGTTCGTGCGGATCAAGTGTTCAAGTGTTCAGCCTTCTACAGGCTTCCTATCCAAACCATAATGTCCTGTGGTTTTACGTCCTCTTAATAATTCTACCACCACCATAGAGCTGAGTACCAGTGTCCATGCTTTAACACACGGCCCTTTGGGGAATACTTAAGATCCAAACCATGAGCCAGCTATTTATTTAAGCCATCTTTCTCTAAAGGATATATATGCTTTCTAGTTCTTCTTACCTTGTTAATCGTCAATGAAAATTTTAATATATATATATGTATATGTGTATGCTTGGATTCATATATGTGTTATGTGTTAGATATGTGATCCGAGTATCCCAAAGAACATTTCGGTTTTTGATTGCTGTTCCTGCCCTGCCTTCCTGAGTGCTTCATCAGTGTGGATGGCAGTGGGGGAGCGAGAGGCACAAGTTTTCCTTGTTGCTTTGCTTGTATTAAATAGCATCATTTTAAAAGCATTTTCCAACTTGACAGGAAAACATAAGCACTTATTTCACTTTATAAAAAAGTTCAATAAGATCCATGTGTATCAGTGTAAATATATAACATCAGAAATCAAAATGCAAAACCATGTGCCTATTGGAAGGAAACAGGTATGTTTCTTCACAGTCATAGAAGAGGGGAAATGTCCTAATTGTGAGTCACAATTCTAAGGCAAAATTGGGGAAAAAAAAGAAAAAGAGAAAAAGATGACCAATTTGATGCCTTGGAAGTAGAAAAATGTCATGAAAATTGACCCCCCCAAAAAAAAAGAATTGAGAAAAATGTTTGACTCCTGTCCTAGATATATCATTGATTTCTCCATAAGCATTAAGTAGCCCAGTAGAACAAATGAAAGGCAGATAAACAAAAACAAAAGTTCAAAACTAAACACGGAAAGTTTTCCAAGTCATGATAAGAGGAATTTATATGGACCTCTTACTGGGATCCCATTTTCCACCAGATTGTCTGGAGTCCAAAGGGGTGACAACCCATAAAGTGGGTAAGATTGGTGAACAGCACTCACAGCTCCTGTTCCTTGGGTGTACAGTGATATACCCTGTTCACTGAGTCTAACAGTGTGCAAGGACATTTCAAGAATTAGTTTTTGACTCAACAGTCCCACTGTTTTATGCTTGATACCAAAGGAAACCTTGGAAAAAGTCACCCCCCCCCCATGTATATGTTCATTGGAGCACTGCTTGTAATACTGAAAGACTTTAAATAATGCAGTCTTAAAGTAGAAGTTCCATCCAGCCTCCCTGACACTTACAGGTTCCCAAACCAGATCTGACCTGCTAGCTCTGGCTGGCAGTACTGTAACTGCCCACTCGACTCTGACACTATCCACTTTCCCCTGCTCCCCAGTATTCCCATGCTGCTTGGGTAAGCACTTATGTGTTTTTGATTTGATTAAATGTGATATTTATCTTTTCTTTTTTGTGTTCATTGTTTCTTTTACTAGAAAATGCATCAGATGCAGATTTGTGGCTCCTGAACAGTTGTACTGTGAAAAACCCAGCTGAAGACCACTTCAGAAACTCAATCAAGTAAGTAGGAGGTCCCCATTCTTCTCATTTTAGATAATCAAGGGAAGAATTAATAACAGCCAATCTTAGCCCAGAAGCCTTTACTTTTAAAAAGCGTGTATTTGTTTTTGTATGTGTGTCACAGTGTGCATATGGAGGCCAGAGGACAAGTTGCTGGAGTCAGTTCTCTCCTTCTACTGTGAGAGTCCTAGGGTTGACTTCTGGTTATCAATTTTGGTGGCAAGTACCTTAACTCACCGAGCCCTCTCACTATCTCCAAATAAGCTTTCAAAAGATTTCTTTTTTTTTCTTTTTCTTTTTTTTTTTTTTTTTTTTGGTTTTTTTCGAGACAGGGTTTCTCTGTGTAGCTTTGCGCCTTTCCTGGAACTCGCTTTGGAGACCAGGCTGGCCTCGAACTCACAGCGATCCGCCTGGCTCTGCCTCCCGAGTGCTGGGATTAAAGGCGTGCGCCACCACCGCCCGGCTTAAAAGATTTCTTGTGTTACTCTGACTTCTCTTCAGTGCATATAAATCTCTTACTGCATAATTCCTAATATTATTAAATACTTAGTATGTATCAAAAAGTATGAGTTGGACTTTAAACAGTTTTTAAAATGAAAACTCTTTCTTCTAATGAATTCACAAATAAACACATCCCAGCTAGATTAAGGAAACCACTGAAGAAGCACTGTCTGTCCAGTTGAACTTTTAAGCTGCTGTTGTTTTGAATTTCTCTGATGAACAGTGTTTTACTAAGGAGTTCCATAATGCAATTTGAGCATTTGTGAAGTGAATGTGTCTGCTCTGTGTGTCCTTCTCAGAGCATGCAGGCATTCCTGGTGAAAGTGGTTGCCATAGCCCTTTTTTCTTCCCACTGGCCCTGTTCTAGGTGTGCAGTGTGTGCCATGGAGCTCCAGTACGATACTGGGACACAAGTCCTTACTGTTTGGTTTGTTTCCTCAATGTGGAAGATTCTTTCTTCACATCCACTTTGAATCTTACTCTGCCCGCTTCCTTAGCAACCTCATTCTATAAATGATTTCCTCCTAGGCTATCAGCTTCTCTAACTCCATCAGATCCTTTGCACTGCCATTTAACATACTCAGCTCTAATCAGTCCCGGATGGCTTTGTTACCTATTTTCCACTGTCTTCCTAGCGAGGCCTTTTCTTAGTTTTACTTCTATTATTTATTTATTAAATATTTATTTTTAATTTTTATGTATACATGTGTGTGTGTATCTGTGTATGCCATGTATGTGCAGGTGAGAGTCAAGGGTGACAATTTCTTTAACTTCCAGAAAATTTTGAGTCACAGCAGGAGGTAGCAAGGCTGGATGGGGCAGGGATGGAGGGACCTCCAGGAGTAGAAGAGAGCTAAACCACAGCAGGGTTCATTTCTGTTCATTTCCAGAAAATTCTTTCTCTCTCTTAGAATGAGAAATCTGGCATAGTCACAACATTGTCTATAGGACAGTTAAAATTTATTCTTAGACATTTTAGTACTACTGATTCCCTAACTTACAATCTAGAGAAGATGGTCCTGTGATTACAGATTAGTCTAACACTGTTAAGTGTGCTTCAGATACAGCTCATTGGTAGAGCATGTGTGTGTATGGAGTCCTGAGTTCAGCCTACAGCATGACCAGAACAACACACAGCCCAGACCCAGACAAAAACATAAGGAAAGAATGAAAGAAAAAGAGGAAAGAAAACTCCTATGGAACTTTTTCAGTGGGTTTGGTTGTTGGGTATGTAAGCAGTGTTATTCTTTGGTGAATGAGCCTCAATGTCAGTCTGAGGTGTGGTGAAGCACCACTAATCACAGAAGGAAATTTGTTCTTAGAATACTACAGAGCTAGGAGTTGTGAGCAGGAGTTCCTTTAATGTACTATTCTTGATTGAAAGAAAAATAAATAGTAGTCTATATGATTAAGTATTTGTTAATGGCTTTAAAGGTTTTTGATCCCTATAACCAGGTATTATTAAAGTAACACTTCAACTGATGTTTGATTTGATTCCAGAGTAAATATGATCAGGTACCGTATAAAAACAATTCACACTGAGAACATGTCACACTGAGAACACGAGTGACGTGTATATAGTGACGGGAAGACTTTTGTCAGTGTTCCACTTTACATACATGCCTTCCTGCTTCTTGCCATCTCCTAACAAGAAAAGATAAGGATGATTAGTTTGTGACCCTTATGTAGTCCCACATTACTACATGTATGTAACAGTATGTAATTACTGTTACCTGCCCTCATCCTGTTGATCCATCTCTTCAGCCTCCAGTCTTGTATGTATTTTGTGTTGCTTTATGCTTTTCAATAGGGTGAGGTATTTGCCCATCTGTGGTGGCCAATGATTTCTATTAGAACATTAAAGTCCTTTTTCTTCCTGGATCCCTTATCCATAACAATTGCTTTGCTTTATCAATATTTAAAAGTAAATTCCCTCTGGTGTGGGGATAGAGCCCACTCTACTGCTGGGCTCCACCTCAGGGCCTGGAACATGCTGTAATGTGCTCTGCCACTAAGCTCTGTCCTGGCCTGTCACTAATTCTTGCCTGTCATGTCTTTGAGCATCTGCTTTTGTTCCTTTCCAGTGTATTCTTGGTCTTTAGTCACTGTTTGCCTTTAATTATCTATTGTCCATCACTCATTTTCCCCCTGAACCATGAGTTAGAACCATTCCACTCATTATAAAGGGGTAACTGGAACAAAGGTGAGCGACAGGGTGTGTGTTTTTCATGTGCTTGATACAAGTCTCATTTGTGATCCAGCAGTTGTGTGTATGTAACGACAACTGTGCGCTCTCTCTCGCTCTCTCTCTCTCTCTCTCTCTCTCTCTCTCTCTCTCTCTCTCACATGTTTCTGAGGTTTTATGGTAATTATTGATCAGATTGATGGAATCATAGAAGTGTTAAGTAACAAAAATAGAAGTGAAGCTGGCCTTGAACTTTGAACTCTTGTTATTGGCTGAACTAGTTCAGATAAAACTGCTGAGGGGCTTGTGTTTCATGATGCTGCCTGTTGGATCACTCTGTTTCTTTTTTAGTTTGTTTGATCCATTATTTCACTGTGGTTTAAGCAATATGGCCTTTAACTTGAGAGACCCTTGAGAAAATGAAAAAGATCAAAAGTTTGAAAAAAAATTGCTCTTAATGAGAGTATCAAATCAGAAAAGCCTTTGGCTTCTGCTTTACAGAAGTGTGGAGTCTTTCTCATGCTGCCTAAAGGAGGTCATTCGGAGATTGGTCAAAATAAACACATCTTGTGTGTTCCATGTCAAGACAGGAAGAGCAGCCAGCATGCTTTGATCATGGACTGATGACCTCTGTTTGACCTTGTGCCTTATTACCCAAATGGGCACCGTGGCCACGCCGATGAAGCAGACAGACAAGAGGCATTTCTGTTTTGAACCACTTTTGCCCAGAGAAACATGATAATGCTGTCAGGATGGGTTAGATAGTCAAAGAAAATGACTTACATGAATAGGTGAAAACAAAGAGAGAGAGATGGACACAGCAGAAAAGGAGGCCTGAAGTCCTGGCTACCTGCTTTGTCTGATGCCTTTTCTGTATAGGGAGTGAGTCCTTATACAGTGCTCTGCCTTGCAGAGTAATAAATGTCTTTACTCTCAGTCCTGCTGTGGAAATAGTGTTTGTTTTATGTGAATTTATCTCTGAGTTCTTCATAGATTGACAGAGGAACAAGAGTACTATTTCAGCCAGAGTACATGAAGTAAATTGCTTTAAAAAATAAGCTGAGCTGTTAAGAATAGACAAGGGCTTGCTCTCCAGTTAGTAATTAATCACCCTGTTGAAAGTGAAAAACTCAACCAATTACATTCTTAACTAGATTCACTAATAATTATCATTTTTTTTAACTATGATTGCTTTGGTTACTTTTAATTTTTATCTAATTTAAATGAAAAATATTTGGTAGAAAATAAAACCACACTGGGCCTCATTTGACTTTTTGTGAGAAACAGGTTAGCTAATTCAAACTGTTGACACACGTGCGCGCGCACACACAGAGGAAGGGAGGACGAGAATGTGTGAGAGAGTGTGGGCATGCACAGACCACAGCATGCTTGTGGAGGTCAGAGGATAGCCTTCAGCTGCCTGTCCTTGTCTTGCCACATTGTTGGGGACAGGGTGTCCTTACCGGTGCTTAAGCTAGGTTGGCTTCTGCACCTTTCATGCCCCGCCTCCCATTTCCAGTAGTTGTAGCAGGGATACAGATGCTCTTCTGCATTTGGCTTCTGCATGGCTTCTAGGGATCTGAACCCAGCAGCAGGCCTGAGCAGGAAGCACTTTGACTCACTGAGACATCTCCCCAGCCCGCATTTGGTCTTTAGTTCTGTGTCTTGTTGAACATAGCCGTTTTAACTTACCTACTTGTGTGAGTGGCTTGAGTTGATCTCAGTGTTTTGTTGTAGGAAGTGTAAGGAGCAGAGAAGATGAACCCTTGGGCCTCCTCCACCAGTGCAGTCTTGTTGCTTCAGCCATTGCTATACACCAGTTTTCTTGTGATGAAGTTAGTTGGGAGTATTGGCCTGTGTGGCTCTCTGTGTTTCCATCAGGCACTGTAATAAGGTGGTGTTTCCTCTAACCGGTGCTCTGCTCACTGGGTGTCATTCTCCTCCCATTGTCCATCTGTTCCCATCATTTGGGTACTGCAGCAGACTGGCTCCTTCCATGTCTGTTTCAGACCCTACCTTTCCTTCCAAGATCTGGGCTTGTGTGCTTCTTGAACATGTCCATGTTGGTGACCACAGATACCTGAGGCCACTATACCAGAGTCTCCTGTTGTCTACCTTATGTTGGCCTTAAGCCCTTAATCCTTCTGCCTCAGCTTCGTGGAGTACTGAGAACTCTATATGCTACTGTTGGCATTACTATTTACTGGTTTTGTTTGGTGGCATCATCTGGAAGTTTCTTTGGTTCCTGTTTCCTTCCTGCCTTCCCTCAGCCCATTTCTCCTCTTTCCAGTCCTGGCCCGTTGCCGTTTACTTA